TGTTAGCAGTAATGACATTTTTTCTTTCTTCATGGATCCATCCGTCCGTCCGTCCGTCCGTCCATCCATCCATCCATCCATCCATCCATCCGTCCATCCATCCATCTGGCTGTCTTGAAACCTGAAACGTAAAAATAAAAATGAAAATGTCATGGAGTTTTGCATACATACTTGAAAATTTTGCTGAAATACATCAGAACTTTTTTTCTGTCCTGAAAGTTTTCTGAAATGTTTAATTTTCAGAATTTGTTTGTGCGTAACTCAATTTGTCAGAAAAAAATATTTCTAATATATTAACTCTAATACAACTCAAAGCACAACCTTAAATTAGGCTGAAAAAAAGGAAGACAGCCAACAATAAAGTGACATAAAGCAAGAAAAATAGGTGAGAATTTTCAGCTAATATGTCATATTAAAACATTAACAGGTTTTATTAGTATTAATAGTACTAATACTAATATTAATCAGTCACTCATAACAGAATGACCTCTGAGTGAACACCTGGTAAGTGGGGGTGTAATACCCTTAATAAATTGTCTGTTCCTCTACATGTCAGAGATACTTTAATAAACATACAGTAAAGTCTAAAATTAATCGGTAATGCTGTTGGAACTGATATGGTTTGTTTTTTTAATTATTTTTTATGATATATCCCTATTCAGAAGGGATACTTCTGGAAAAAAAAAAGATGCCTAACAAAACCCTTTTTTGTTTCAAAAAAGGTTTTCAGATGGTTTAGTTTGGGAGTATTTCATTGCACATATCAGAATTTCCATGTTTCACTCTTCATAAATTAGCTTCTTGAATGTAGTGCTTCAGAGGGGAAGTCTGGAATTTCCATGTGAAATGTATCAATCGTAATGACGGTTTTAAGATGAAGGACAGACTTTTGCATTAAAGAATATGGGGATGTGTTTGAAAACAATTCATAAACATTAAAGACCAGCTCTTGTACTTTTCACAGCTTGCAAGTGGTTTTACATTTCAAGCCTGAGTATGTTTCCATGTCTAAGCAGGGGCAAAGACGCCATCTGTGTGTTTATTTCTCCTCTCGTGCAGTTCGCACAAGACAAAGTTATTTTTGCCTATTAACCCTCCTTCCGATAATATCCGTAAGAAGGTGTTCAATATAACCCTCCTTGCTCTTAACAATGCTTCAGCAAGAGTACATCCTCAGTTTTGCATGTTGTGGTCTGAGACGGGAATGCCCTGGTCCCCGAGGTCCCGGGAATCAATCAGAACTGTGAAAGTGGATCTACTCTGGCAGGACATGTTTTCAACGTCCCCTCTATTACCTCTGTGCTGCCTAGCAACTATTGCCACAGTCATAGGCTGCTGTTTGCATGGTGACCCCGGCTGAGACAATCCTATTGGCTGAGGAGGCAGGAAGGTTATTCCAAAGTCCTTTGGGAATGCTGTGCCAAAGTGAATGTTCATAGTGTGTGAGGGCACAGAGAGAGGAAAGAAACCTGTGAAGGACTGCAGGGCAGGATGAGATAATGATACAGGAGAAGAAAAGATAAATAATTTCACGAAAGGTGCTATCGGTGCTTGTGTTTAGATATTGTTTGACGTCCATTATCTTGTTTTTAATAGAAGTTGTGTGAGGATATAATCTTTGATTGCCATTTACTGCCATGACATCTTGCATCTTTTGCGCATTTATAAAGATTACAGTCCACAATCTGCATGAGTACTCCAATGATTTTCAGAGGTTTTCTATTGCTGAAATAATCCTATTTGGAGAAATCTTGCATGCAACTTGCTACAATCCACATAATAGACTCAGAAAATATGGAGAAGATTGCTTTGGTCAAATGAGACATAATTTGAACTTGTAAAAAAAAAAATCCTACTCTTAACATAATAGTCAGAACTTGGCAGGAAAAGTTTGGATCAAAGAAAATCATTATGTTAGAATGGATTTGTTAAAATCCAGACCCAAATGACTAAAACTTTGAAAAGTTCAAAGGGGTGGGAATGCTTTTATAAACCTCTGTAGAACTCATCCAAACCACCAATTAATCCTCAGAAGTGCATTACTTGGAAAGGGCCCTAATGCACCCATCCAGTCCCACAACATCCTATCATTTAAACATCTTGAATATTATTCAGCAGTTTTTTTTTTCTTCATCACAGCCATCTTTATGAATCCATGCAATAAAAAAAGCTAACAGACGACTTTTTAAATATTTTTTTGTGGACACAGACTGGCAAAGTTCATTCATGCAGGGACAATTCAAAGGTCAGTTGTTTTAATTTCACATTTCTTGATTGGGAGATCCACACACTAAAATGGTTCTCATTAGTATCAATCAACAGGGAGCAAACAGCATGGAGTCAAAACTTTTATGACTGCGTGGATGGAAGATTTTGACTACTTTTCCCTATAAATAACCCCCTACATGACATGGTAAAGTAACAAGATTCATAGAAGTTAGCTTCAAATGAGGCCAGATGCCTTGGCACAGTCATAAAGCGCACATGGACACGGGAATCACTAAGTCAGCAGTTTGGGTGCTTAGCACCTGCACAACAATGCTACCTGGAAGCAGTGCCCTGCAAAAGTCTTTTTCTGCAAGACTGCAAATCTTGCAACAATAAATCATTTTTATTTACTTGCCTAATACGTTTAATAAATTACTTGCAAGTCTTGTGCACAACATAACTACAGTACTGGATGAGCAGCCAGAGGTCGAAAGGAAGCACTCACTGATTTGTTTGGTCGATCGAAACTTCAAAATCCTGATGCATTTATTTTTAAGTTTATGCTTAAGTTTTATTTTTCAGAAGATTGTGAATGTTTGGTATTCAAATGCAAATAAAGCTCTTTGTCAAAAAATACAAATAAAAACAAGAAGTTTAGTCAAGTCATAAAACACAAGCGATGACATGAACGCTCTGGGTTGCTGTTAGAAGCACCATATTGTGATCCAATGTCATATGAATTTAAAAATAAATAAATAAGGCATTGTAATACATTTGGAGAAGTGTGCACACCCTTACAGAACTCTTGGTTAAAGCAGTCTTTAACCCATTTTCAGCATTCAGTCTTGTTCGGTAGAACTCTGTCAGAGTGATAAATCTAGACTCGGCCACTTTGTTTTCCTACGTCACCGTGCAAAGATCCATCAAATTTGTCCGCCTGGGAGGATGCATCATGTCCACAGCCCTTTTCTTGTTGTTCAACAGATTTTCTGTCAGGTTTAGTTCTTTAGTTCTGGACTCTTCAATTTTCCTCTGACAAAGTGTTTTTTTTATTTTTTATTTTGATGTACTGTTGGACTCTCTGTGATTGATAAGAAATTTAATCCCTCTTCATCCTCAGCTTTCTCACAGACACCTTCTGGTTTTGGGAGAAAAACTGGCTGGCAATCTGAACTAACAGGTTAAAAATCCTCAATTACATCTAAAGAAATGTATTCCCAGAGCATGATGCTATCTTCACTATCTTTCACTTTGGGCATTGTGATTTTGGGAATTTCTTTTTTTTTATGATATGTAGAGCTGCTTTTGTTCCAAATAATTGTTGGAATCGCAACCATATGATCAAATTTAACTACATAAAATCATAACACTTTCTCCCTCAAGTATTTTTTAAATGGGAAGGCCTGGAAGTATTTCTACTCAAGAAAGTACTACCTGTGCTGTGGTATATCCATCATGCATTTTTAACCTATTAGCAAAAGGAGCAAATGTCAGAAAATCATAAAAGGACAGCTAAACTTAAGAATCAACATCAACATAGTATTTGGTGTGTGGCGTGCATTTTTAATCTTTTTTTCACATTTTTTGCAAAAAATATGATTTCGAAATGGCACATACTGTAGCCCTTCTTCAAACAACTTTGGATTGTTCAGTGCTGTGCAGCGCACCTTTTGTCGGCTGTTTTCTCTTTTAGCTGCGTGTCATTCTGAGACTTTGGCAGCAATAAGAAGATGAGCCCTGTGGAAGCTGTCAGGAACGTCACACCTGATATCTCATCCCAGAAACAGCTTGGTGTGGCTTTTGTTGTTTTATGGAAAGCAAAATGCTCTTTCACAGCTTTCCAATAAATAATACAGAGTGTTCCAGCTTGGCTATATTTTAAACGCAGAACAGTGAAAAACAAGTATGTGGGGTTTCTAATTTGAGAAAGTCAGGAGAATATTTTTGTTTGTGATGTTGGTCTTTTCATTCTCAAATTTCATCTGTCTCATCTTCTCTCTCTCTTAATATAAAGACAAAAAAAACATAAACACATACAACACTGTCTAATTTCTTTAATGGATAATATTTCCAATGTACTCACTTCATTCTGTGATACTGAATCAAACACTATATTATTAAAGAAATACTTCCTATAAAGATTTTAAAATAGCTCCTCCTGAAGGATCATTTTACTGTCTGCTGCTCTTGCATAAGGACCTTCCTGTCCACGTCCCTCCCTGTCCCTTCTCTGTCTGGTTCGTATCTGTTGCAGTGTCCCTAACAAGAGATTTGACAGCCTGAGAGAAGGAGCTTCTTCGCAAACCGTAACCAGTTAACTTGATGACTAACCCTGCACTTAAGACAGTCCTCACTTTGAGCTGAAAAGTAGAGCAGCGTGGCATTGAACTCTTACAATTTTTCATTTAGCCGGAGAAAAGTCGCTAACATGGTTCAAGCAAATTGAATTCGTTTGTTTTAAACGGTGCAAATTACTGTATGACGCTTAGGTGCCTGATTTATGCCGGATTTATCTGCTCCAACAGCTGCCGCTCTTAACTGCTTTCTCAACCCAAGGACTGTGTTAGTGTACGATTCCCATAAATAATTCATAAGTATATTTGAGGATCAGAGTGAATTTATCACCGGAGATCAGAGAGAATGCAGTAGCACCGCGTGGTGCGATCAGAGAGTTCACAAGCGAAAAATCAAGCACGTTGAAGCTTAAATCAGTGCAGTGTCAGAGATCCCCAATCATCTTGTTATAGGATGTGGTATATGCCCTCACTAACAGATTTTCATGCTCTTTGCAGAAAGCTCGCCTTTCCAGGATACGACTATCAAAAACAGGAAGCTCGAGTGCCTTCCTCCACAGCAAGCGCAACGGCCTGTTCAACGAAGCTCTCGAGCTCACGGTAAGACTCGCCTCAGCGCCACATCATTTACTATTCCGAGAAACAACCAGCCGCACAGGACACAGGCAAAAGTGTGCATAGTTTAAGCGGTGACACATAAAACCTGACCCGTGCCCTACCCGAGATTCTAAATTCAAGCCTTGCTCCCTAATATCCATTAATTATCCCAGCATCCCTTCGGAGGAACTAACTGTGTTCTCATTTGGCGAGCGGCACATTTAATGTGAGCATCGCTGAGCCCAGCTGCCCAGCTGAGGAACAGGCTTGAGGCGTTGTAGCAAGAAATGTAAACACAACACAAGGATGTTCCCTGCCTCTCCAAAATCTAGCGGTTTACAAGCAAGCACTATAGTGGCCCCGGGGGCTGACACAGCACAAAAACAAGTGTTTGTTCCACTTTTCTAACTCAGTCTTCCAGTGTCTTCGTTGCTGTATCTCTCTCCAGCAGAACTGGTGAGGACACAATCAGATTGGCACCAGTGAGACTTGTTGGCCGAGAAACACGCAACACATTTGCAGCAAGGCACTGGAAACTATAAACCTGTAACTGTATTTTTGGAAAAATGTTGTACTTTTTAAACTATCAATTAGAAGAAAATGTCAGACGGTTCAAGTTATATGAGAGCAAGAATTTCTGTTTTTGCAGATTTAGTCGTAGAAAATACCTCCATGTTCTCATTGCATACAGAACTCCATGTCCCAAAAGTTTAGTTTTTATGCGCTGTGGCAAAAAAATATCGTATTATTTTTGGTTTATTTGTGCGCTTTAAGTACATAGCATTCCAACACCAATTCCTGCACATTAAAAAAAAAATGTTCCATAAACATTTTTATTATCAATAAAGTCTGTCCCAACATAAAGACTTTGTTCAAGTAAGGTGGCATAATTATTGTCTTCTTAAAACAAAATGTTTGCCAAGGGTGTGCATTCTAACTTTTTAAAACACCTCGTTTATATATTATTCAAGTGCCGAGAGAATGAGATGTTCTTATCCAATGTCATAAAGGTTAACACAGAAATATGTTAAGTCAGAGGTTTCCCACAAGCCCAGGCCTCACAATCCAATATAGTCGATCGATATGTAAAAGTTTGTGATCACTGCTGTGTGTGTGTCTGTGAGTATTTAGCTCATTAAATCTTTCCCTCGGAAACTCCTTGGTTTCTCACTGCTTTTTAAAATTGTGAATGAAAAAGAGTTTAGTTTAGTTTGATGTCATTACCAGATTGAAGATTTAACATCAGAGTTAAATCTAATGGAAAAAGTAGCAAACAGGACTTGGTCCTGGTTACTTGTTAATTTTTCCTTTGTGAAGCTTCTGATCAAGCAAGGAAGAAAAGAAAATGGCTAGTTGGTTCTTATTAACTCTGCATCACGTTTTGTGTTTATCTTAATATTATCTGCTTTAAGGTTTCTGTGACAAACCACTTTACCCGGAGCGCTTAGCCCAGCAGTCCAGGGTTGTTTGAGCAGCAAGGTCAGACAGATGGTTTTTATTGCTGTTTCTGATGACTGGGTGGAAGTTAAACAAAATGTTAATCGCTGTCAAATGTTTAATCGTTAGGAGGCTTTTTATTCACAGTACGCCCGGCACCACGCGGAGCGACACAATGTGTTTTGTCACCCGGCAGATCAAGCTGTTTCCACTCTACAGTATGGTGGCCACCTGGGTAGTGAGGCATGGCCGCCTCCAGATAGATAGACCGCTGATACGGACCTGTAGTCACATGTATGGAGGGGGGTGTGGGGCGGACAGAAATAGCTCACACCTAAACACCTGTGCTCTGCTGCTGCTTTAGCTACAGATAAGCAACCGCGACACAAGGGAGCCGAGGAACACTGAGTCATCAGCGCAGCAATGTACCCTCTCAGCACGGAAAGCCTCTGTTTTCAACACCAGCCACATGCTCAACAAGCAGAAAGATCCTACTACCATTCTTCCTAATGCAGCGTTTTGCTTGCTTATCGCTGTTATGAGGGATGACAGCAGTACTTTTCACTGAGCTTACAGGTACATGTGGGGAGCATAGAGGCAACTTATTACAAGTCTGTAAGTAAATCATAGCAGGAAAGAGATAACAGGACAAGAACACTGATGAGGCACCTTACCCGGATCGGTGTGACGATATTTCCAGACTTTTTTGGGTCATTTTTTGGATTATTTCTGGGTTAATTTAATATTGAGTTGAATTATTACCCAACATCTCACCGACACCAGCAACCCTCATAACCCCACAATTACAAGATGGATGGATGGATGGATGGATGGATGGATGGATGGATGGATGGATGGATGGATGGATGGATGGATGGATGGATGGATGGATGGATGGAAAAAAACACATTTAGCTGTACCCCAGTAATTAAGAACATCATAAAAAGTTCATGTATTTCATTAACTTATATAAAACAGTAATATATCGTTGAGTTATTTTACACCACATAATATATTAATCACCTATTTTGATTAATTTAGTTGACTAAAACCTATAAGTAATGAAAAGAAAAATCTAACTTCTGTTTCTCAGAAAGTTAGAATACTGGTAAAAGATAGTTTTTTGATACAGCGTATTCACTCTGTATTTGATCAAGGTTCCTTTTGCATAATTGAAAGGCAGCAGGAAGGTGATCACCCTGTGGCCGTGCTGTGCTACCTGGAACAGGATGCTTTGAAAACAGTCATCAGCTGATCTACATTGGCGTCTCTGGTGTTTTTCATCTTTTCTTTTACAATACCCTAGAGATTCTCATGAGGTTAATGTTTGGTACCTTTTTTGACAACATTTTCCTTCCACTCAATTTTTCATTAGTATGCTTTTACACAGAACACTGCTAACTGAGCTCTTCTTTGTGGCTTGCCTTTGTTTTGTAGGGTATCCATGACTAAATGCCAAGCCACCAGTCCTCCCTGTGATTATATACCGTAACATAGCCATGGCAAAATATTTCTGAATAAAAAAAATATTGACTTGAGGAACTGAAATATGGATTTTCAGTAACTTTTAACAGAAATGATAAAAAAATATATACAGAAATAAACATTTGAAATATATAAGTCTCTCTGCAATGAATCTATGTTATATGAGTTTTACTATTTGAATTTAATTCAATACGATAAAGCAACTTTTTGAGGTGATTCGAATGGACTGGCAAGGATCTGTTTTCCAAATCTTTCTAAAGAAGTGATTTTATCTTTCTTCACAGTGGAAATATCTTCTATAACCTTTAATCCTTTCTAGTTTTAGTGACTAATAACACATTCTTGCAAAAAAACATACCAAGTGAACTCACAAAAAGACATATAGCGGTTTTACATTTGTTCACACCTTGTTCATCAGCTTAGCTATAACCAGAACTTCCTTCAAATATCTGCAGAGTTGGAAGTACCACCGACTTTTCATGCAAACTTTATTTATTTATTTATTTTTTATGCAAGTAAACACATAAGCGTCAGTTCAGTGGTATAAAGCATAAGGAATATGGTAAACAAGTCATTAGACAGTTCCCTTTAGCGAACACAGACAAGTAGGCAAAATGTCATAATGGAAATTTTATGTGAACTGTATACTGAGTAACTATTATGTGCCAGAAATGCTAGACGTTCCACCCTCCCCACACAGGTCGGTGTCCTAGATGTTAGAAGACTTTCCTCTTGGGGTTTGGAATAGTAAACATTCTCTGTCTGACTGGCATGACTGTAAACGCTGACGGCTGTCTTTTCTCAGCGCCGAACTGTGAACACGAGTAAAACTCTACCTGTCTTGTTCTCCTTTTGTCTCCTTCTTCAACTCAAGCAACTTCCATACAAGATGAACCTTTCAGATCAGGTACTGAGACGGCATTCGGCGGCACGCCTCCCACATCACTTCCAGGCAGAGCGAGAGAGTGAAGCCTAACGTTCGTTTCGTGTTTGTGTGTGAATTCTTCTATTCCAGGGTTCCACTGAGGACGAGAAGCGTTTGAGCAAATCTACCTCTCTAATAGAGAGCCAGCACCAACATCTGCTGCACTGTCTGGAGAAAACCACAGTGAGTGCATGGCTGCTGGAGCTTCTGGAACTGAGTACAGTCTTCTTCTATCTGTCATGAGTGTCTTTTTTTTTTCCATCATCACACTAAAATCCACCAGTCCTGACTGTAAAAATACTTCTAAAAGCTGAGTGTAGAACCACAGCTGAGTTAATAAGAACTGAGCTCTTTGCACAGTGCAGTACATTTCATTCTGACTCGCTTCATTTAGCTTTTGATACACATTTTCCATTTTATCTCTCACTTAGCCAAGCACAAGCAGTTGTTCTAGCATGCTCTGATCCGTGAGGACCCAGACTCATATTTAACAGCCTCCTTATCTGTGAAAACAAAAACACCACGCAGTAATCAATATAAATGATTTCTTTGTGTGTTTATCTTGTAGGGGGCAAACATTAGCATGGAAACAATTATGTTGGCTTCACTGAAAAACAAAATTAATTTTGTTTAAAATCCTTTTTGTTTTCATTTCGAGCACCAGTCAGAAGTTTACTTACACTCATGTCACATTTTGGGGTCTTTTTGTGATGGATTTTGAACTGTTTGGACTCATTTACACAACATAAAACTTTAATAAAATTGTAGAGGTTTTTTTTTGTTTTGTTTTGTTTTTTTCAGCAAACTTCAGAGAAAACCCATCAGCAACATCCTAGCATCATTCCATCTACTTTTTTGTCCAGTTTTCTCATCACAAATGGCAGAGCTCGTTTAAGTTGCTTGGTTTACATCCTGGACTCATCTTTTAAGAAGTTATACTCAGCTTTTACAAAGATATCGAGTACAACAGTTAAAAAAAATAATAATTCAGACAACAAAACAGGCTATCACAGCTACTGTATGCATTGTGAGAGAACTTCTTGACCTTACACATAGATGACGCTTTCTTCCTGCTTTTGCTCCGCAGAACCACGAGTTTGTGGACGAACAGTATTATCAGCAGAGTTACCTGGAAGCGGGGCTGCAGAACTATCCGTCTCGAAGCCCTTCGTTGTCCAGCCAAGACGGCGTGACGGGGACATGCTGCACCCGGAGAAGCAAGAAGCAACACCACACCCCTTTACCGAACGCCAGCGCTCCAGCACACATGCAGCCTTTGAAACACACGCACACACACCCACAAGGCTTGCAGGAGCTCAGCACCATCCACATCCATCCTCTAAGTACCAGGTAAGGTCAGAGTTCCTAAAGGACTGGACTGTACCTTGACTTATACTGATCCACATGTGTGAAGATGCCATGTTTATCTGTTCAAACAAGCAATAAGCAAGTATAAACAGAATCCAGATTCTGCTTTTAAATAAGGTGACGGTTTTGTGTCCTTGAGCTTTAATGATTTGCGCACCACGAGCAAAGAATTTTATGTTGAAATTTTGAAGCAACAACTCAAGACATCCGCAAGGAAGTTAAAATTTGGGCATACATGGGTTTTGCAAGTGGACAATGACTATAAACACGCAGCCAAATTAGTTAAGTAGCAAAGTTGATAGTGAGAAGTGGCCTTCACCTAGCCCTGATCTTAGCCCTCCAGAAAAATCCATGGTGAAAACCTGAAACGGTGTGTTCAAGAAAAGTGGCACACAGAACTTCCTCAGTTAGATCAGTTCTCTTAGGAGGTTTGGGTTAAAGTATTTCCCTGGGATCGTTCTAATCAATTTGCTGTTTTTGTCCTCCCCACCACAGCCGCTCCAGTTTAAACATGCGCGTAGATGAGCCAGCTTCTCTGAACTGCCAGAGCAGCCAGATCACAACAGCAATCATCAGCATTCCCACACCGCCAGTGACGACTCCGGAAGGCGACGCTCACCTGCCCGCCGCTCCCACCCTGCAAAATGTGGTGAAGGTGTCTGCTCTGTGAAGACTAGACTGCAGCAGCGCCGCACAAACAGACAGAGAAAGACTCACAGAAGCAGACCGAGAAGGACTAACTATGGTGGAAAGGGCTTTCAGAGACGTATTCTGGCCCTGGTGGAGCCTGCCCCCTGCTGGTGAAGTGTTGCATTGGCACGGACTCCCCTGTACACATGGAGGATGGACTTCAGACGCAGTATCTTCATGTTAGTGGTCGGCAGACTTGTGTTCGTATGTGAATGTGTGCATAAAAGAACAAGACAGATGGATAGGGAATCATTTAGGAAGAGGACTGTGTGCCTCTAAGTGTCAGAGGTAAGTTCCCAGAGTTAGTCATGTGTCACTGTGCACAAAAGCACCTTTTTATAATTTATGCTTGAGTTTAAGGCAGGAAGTACAGGAGGGGGAATGAGGACAACTCAAAGAAAAAGGGAAATAAACAAAATAAAAAATAAAAAATCACCCCCCTCTGAGGTTTGTAGACTTTGAAATAGAGTACTGCCCGTTTCAGCCATTTTGGTCTACAAACCTCCTTTTCAGGTCAAACATTATTCCACTTTAGCGTAATTTCTTAAAAACCCAAAAAGCAGTAGGTGTCCGTGTGATGGCATTCCCAGTGATTGTGAATGAGTGTTTGTAACTTTAAGATAGACTTTAAGTTGTTCCGTTTCTGAAAGGAGGTGTGTCAGCGTGTGTTTGTGTGTGTTTTTCTCGGTTGATTGAAAACTTGTATTTCAGTTCTTCTGGAAGTATCTATGGCTCAGTATATGATAATATATAACTAGCTGCCACTTCGAAGGGTTCTTTGCACATATTTCTGTCAAAAAATTCTCAGCAGCAAGGGTTTCACTCAGTTTGTGCATAGTTTGCAGCACTAAGTATTTTTATTTATTTATTTTTTAATTATTACTTTTAATCACCATCCATTTGTTTTGGCTCCAAATGCCCAAATGGCCTCAAAAAACACAATTTATTTTGCAAACAAACAAAACAAAAAAAAAAAAAAAAACTTACTTTAAGTCCAAATCTACACAACGAAAAGCACAAAGCATTTGCTGAGAATTTGCTGACAAAAATCTGCCCTGAGCCTGTGATCTTTGTGAATATTGTTAATAGAATATTTTGTAATATTTGACCATCGTTTGGCAGAAGCAGTGAGTCTGTCCTCTTGTTCTTGCTCTCCTCTCTACATCCCTCTCTCTCTTGTTGTTGTCCTGTTGTGTCCCTGACATCTGTGTGAACAACAGTATGCTTTCAGTAGTTTTTATAGCCGTCGACATTTTTTTTTCTTCCCTAAACTCAGCGAGCATTTTTCAGAGTTGTTGAGTATATGTTCGTAATCTGTGTGGTAAGCAAACTTGGTGTTTGTACTTTTTGTCCTCCTCGATGTTTTAAAGGATTTCTTTTTCACTTTATCTTCTGGAGACTTTACAGTAGGCAAGTCTGTTGTAAAAATGACCGCAGGGACATAAAAAAAAAAAAAAAGTACTAGATGAACCATCTTTTGGCCTTTTTTCCATACTGAATGTAATTTGTAGGTTTCAGCAGCGACACAGTCAGTCAGTTGTGTCTTCAAATCAATGAGACCACTGTCAGGAGTTCATTACAACAGAGAACACCAGCTAGAGTTGCAGCAGACTAACCACCCACCTCTGCAGGCTAAAGGCTCATATCATATTTTGAGTTTTCCTTTTCAATTTTGTTTGTACTTGTAGCCGCCGCTGACTCTGCCAGAGATCTTTGTTGTCGTGTTCACTTGAAGCCAAGATCTCAGTTGTTTCAATAGCCTTGGGGGAAAACATCTTTAAACAGAGAAACTGCTTTTGGTGTGTGATTAGAAAACAGCCCTCTCTACATATTTACTTGAACAAGTTTTACCCACTTTTCTTCCAAAGCAACAAAGAGCAAACAGTGCCCACTCATTTATGTTTCCATTAAACTACTCCACTTATGTTTGACATATTCTAATAAAATGTGGGATATTTTTTGTCAAGAAAGAAATTGTTTTCTGAGGTTCCAGGTGAAACGTTGCCCTTTTCATCTGTGCTTTGAAATGTCTTACCTACTTAAAAAGCTGGTAAAAAATAATAAAAAAAAAAAAACTGATTGTGATTTTGCTATGATTCAGATTTTCATGATTTTTAGGTTTTCCAACTCTAAAGTTTGCTATTTGCCCTTTAAACATGGTGATTAAGAGCACATCCACTAAGCAACAGATTCATGTTTGACTTTTTAAAAGCAATACTATCCTGTAGATTGTTTTTATTTCTGCAGAAGTTAACTCTTTAATGTCACCAAGTGTCGTATTAGAACATTATTTATTTTAGGTCAACTTGTCTTTTCTGCTGTACGTCAGTTCTAACTCTTCCAGAGATTAGTAACAACCCAAAAAAGCTAAATTATTCTACAAAACTGTACCAAAATGTGTTTTACTTCTGGTACTTATTAATATTAACCTTTCCCTGAGTTTGGTAACTTAGGGCACAAAGATAACTGTCTAGATCCACTATTTGCATTTAGTCAAAATGGCCATATTGAAAATTACAAGGACAGACACAAAACATTTTTGTTATATTAAAAAAAAAAAATGAAATCAAGAAATTGACTTTTCATTAAGAAGCTTAGAGTCTACTGGAATGGAGCAGAACAGGTGAGGCAGAAGCAAAACTCCTTGCTTTTGATGCTGGGGAGATTTTTTTGAAAACTTGACTCTTTTCCTGCTGCTTGTTATCAGAACAGGTTATTTTACGTCAGCTCTACTTTCAATAGACACAGGTTGACATTCTATGTAAGCATATGATACACTGGAAATGTCTAAGGGATGCATTTTTATTTACAAGCAACAAAGATAGGTTCGTGGTTGTGTCCGTCTCCGTTACGTACTCTTCTCTCTCTGCAGGCTCAGTCTCCCCTTACTCTTTGCTTTGCCCTCCTATGCCACCTGTTGTTGTTGAGACTACTGCTGTGCGTAACTTGTCATGTGTTGGATATTATTTATGACCTTGTCTTGTGTCCCAACTGTGAAACGCCTGATAAAACATCTATATCTGCCACAAAAACCTGTAGTCCGTGGGCTTTTTTCTTCACCTTCTAACCCTGTCTATAAGTCCAAGTGTGTGAACAGCAAGAAATGGCAAGAAGACAGAGCTTCACTGTTTTTTTTTTTTTTTTTTTTTCTGCTCTTCCATAAATGCAGAGTGGTAATCCATATGTTTTCATCAAAGCATAGGCTATTACTTTTAAGTGGTTTCTTTGGATGGAGGAGAAGGGTCACTGAGAGTACAGCCAAAACTTTGGGTCATACTTGAGTTGCTGCACAAATTGAGTCCCATATGCACAGTGCAGATGAGCAAAATTTGTGTAAAGTGAAATGTTTATTGGTTTTCCTGGTGAAGACGTGTAGAAGCAAGAGAATAAATTAATATTTGACTGCAGTGCCATAATTTCACTCCAGAACAAATCTAAATATGAGCTAAATATAAGCTTTTACTGTCCTTACATCACAAGTGCTCTGGGTGAAGACTGCTACACGCTAGCTGGAACATTACGCTATGTTAAAATGAACCCATAATTGAGCTTTTCAACAGCAAACACTTCAGCTTGGTTTGGCAAATAAATATATGGAAAAGTGCAAGAGGAGGAGCTGTGATGCTGTGAGCCAGTTTCTCTCCTAACAGGAATACAATCCTTCTTAGTAAGGAGGAGAAAGCATCACAGGCTCTTTACCAGGACATTTGTCTGTCAAAAATCTGAAATTGGTCAAAATTGGGTCCATATCCAAAAACATTTGGCTAAATCTATACAGACTGACCAGACTACCTTCTACTAACGTCTCAGCTTTTTAGGTGAGAACATAGGTCAGCTCCAACAACTTTGCATGGTGCAGAGAGATTGTGCAAATTGAACTGATCAAAAATCTGCTTGTCTGTATGATCCAGCTTTGAGAAATATTATAGGTTAAAAACAAACACCAAATGCTGTCCTCTTTGCAGAGGGGGGCAGCAAGTGGTGTCAGTTATTTTACCTAAAGTTATTTTATAAATAATTAAATGTAATCTTGGTGACGGTTGGATTTTTCTGAATCGTTCAGCCTAAGATTAGGTTTCTGCAAAAAGTTTTTATTTTAATCACTTTCATGAGAGAGGTCAATAAATGTGGAGGTATTTATAGTATTTACTCCTGTTCAACTATGGAATTTATTGGCAGAACATTTCACAGCTACATCCCTCAGCATGGTTGATGAAGCATTTGTGAATCATCGTCGGTAATGACTCAGATCGGGTAATGAGAGTGACTTCAGCCGTCTTCGGGTTCACCAACATCTTGAAAAAACTGCTAGACTATTAAACTAAGAGGTGATGACTTGTGTTTGATTTATGTGAGAAGATATGTTTAATGTTTCCTGCTTTTGTGGGAAGAGCATTGGCTTCTTTACAACGTTCAGCGCACAACTTCATAGAAACATTCCAGGACAAGATCACAAGACCTTTATGTGGAGGAAGTCGTTGTCCAGCAGGGAGGCAGTGGCCTGCTGAGATGACCCTGCTGATGAAGGAGCAGGGACACTGCCGGCCTCAGCTGGACTCCAGACTGTCGATGTTTCCTTAAACCTTTGATTATGAGCAGAGTGGACAACAGAAACAAAACAGCACTCTGCATGCTCCTTGTTTTACTGTTATGTACTTGACTCGGTGTGTAAATGACATGTTCAGTTACAATTTATTTCTGCCGGAATAAATAATTATTTCTAAATTGGCGCCTAAATTTCTTCCAGTTTGCCTCCCTCTCTTGTTCGGGTAGCTTAAGCAAATAACCCAAATCCCCAAAGTGAAAAAAGGACAAAGTGGGGAAGAATCACATTGAGAATCCAAGAGGTCACAACTAAAACGTTGCTGCATGTCAAAAATCCAAACCAAAACTCAAAACTCTTGCTTCTTTTGCTCTGTTTTACAGGAAAAGGCAGTTGTTTTAAAGCACCTCATGCCGATATTTACTGTAAAGCATTTTGACACGACTTCATGGATGAACGGTGCCGGGTGTACAGCAACAGCTGGCGTTCTCTCTCCCACAGAGCAGAACAGAGAGAAGCAGCAGCGCGTCTGCAGAGCGCTTCAGGAAGTCCACAGCGGCCGAGACAAACAGCGGGAACTTTTGACTCTGCATCTTCAGCTGTCCTCTTCATCATCAACACCCCAAGGATCTTTTAGAAGCTCAACAATCCCGTCTCATTAAAAAAAAACAAAAACAAAAAAAAAAATCATTTTTACCTTCGCCATGAGGAGTCAGTGATGATGTGGATGCCAGACAGAAAATTTGTTTAGTCCTCTGCTTAAATCAGAAACACTAAATGCTTCAGGTGAAGAAATGACCTCATGTTTTCCTCCACTTTATATATTTATGTGCTCTTTGTATCGCCTACCACTGATTGGATGAATTGGTAGAAAGGTTAACTGACCTGAAATCAGGGGAACGAGGAGAGGAGCTCCCGGACGCCACGGGTTAAACTTCTTCTGGACGTGAACACCATGCAAACACAGCATACACTGATACGACGACTTCAAGTCAAAAACCAAAAAGACCTGACTGAACAGAATGGGATTTGAATTACTGTAAATAGTTAGTCGGGGTAATTTATTCCAAAAAAATAATTGAAATCACACATGTGGTATGAATTAACTAAGGAATACAGAATTGGAGAGCATCATTTCGACCCAAACTCAAACCTTCTTGTTGTGTCCGGTCACTGATTGCAGACAGTTTCTACCATAAATGACTGGAAATGCTGAATTAGTGTTTCATGAGTTCCTGCATGTAGACTGCATTCATGCGATACGCGGCCATCCAGTTGTGAGCTACGCTGTAGTAGCTCTGGTAGCCCTGCTCTGGAAACGCCGACATAGCAGAGTAGTAGTCGCTCCAGGCTTCATAGCAGGCTTTCCAGTACGCCTCAGAGCTCCAGTCCTCCTCGGCCTCCATGCACTCCTCTTCATCGGTCTCCCTCTTCGGCTCTCTTTTAATCTTCTCCGGCAACTTTCTGCTGTCTTTTATTTTTGCGGACTTCTCCCTGCTATTCTGCCCTCGTGTGTTCTGACTGGCTTGCTTCCTTCTTACAGACTCGTTGCTCTCAGGCTCAGGTGGAGCTCTCGTGTTTGTTGTGCAGGTTTCCTGCTCGTAGACTCCGGCTGCAGAGGATTTGGGCACGGCAGATGCAGATCCAGTGCCATGCTTGAAAACTGTCTTTTGCTCTGCTTCTGTGGCCTCATGCAAACCTTCGGGTCTGACACCAACGCCGGAGCTGGAGGAATCAGAAAGTGACTGTAACCGTTCACTGCTTTGGGTCAAAGCCGCGGCCCCGTCGTCCTGCAGTGTGATGTGCTCGTTGTAGCCAGTCTCATCACCGGACTCTCTGCCTCTGAACTCCCTGATGACCTCCACCGTCCTCCCCAAACCTGCAGTGATGAAGGTGTGGAAGTCCAGCTCAGCCT